ATGAATATCTAACTCTTTTCTCTCGCTCCCCCCTCTCAGAAAAAAGGCATATAGCCGCATCTGAAACAATGCAGACTGTGGAAGAGCGCTCCGATTGCCAATTCCACAGTCAGGACCCAATTTCGCCTTCTTCCTTTTCAGCCCCTGTACTAGACTATCTCAAACAAAATAGTTGCTTGCACGTTTTTGCTATAAACAACCTTAAGGACACTTTTACGAGGATTTCAAGCAAAACTCAACACTTAATGAGGATTATTTAAGATGCGTAATAATGGAAAGCAACTTAGTGTTTCGTACTGTTTGAATGGAATACTTTGCCTTGGTAAGACCTTTGTTTGAAAATCAAACCTGCTATCGAATTCCTCCTATGCCACTGTTGAAGCACCTGTAGGAAGCTTGACTTGTTTACGTTGTTTTTTTTTTGAAAAAATTTGAACTACATTGAAATGAGGCGTGCAAAGAAAATCGCTTACTATTCTAGTGGATACTTGCATGAAGTCCCAACCGCAAACTACGTTAAAGCTCATCGACAAAGTCACGCCTCCAGCGACTACCGTTCTACAAAAAGCCTATGATACGGTAAGAGTAGTCTAACTAAGTGGAAGTGAGCAGATATGGTTAAAGGTGATAAATTTCATTTTGGAAGTGTGGCGAGTAAAAACCATAATTCAGTTTGCCTTCAAGCTTCCTTTGCGGACTCTAAGCTTTACTAAAAGAAACTTTTCAGGTAATGAAAGATATCAAAACGGCTAAGAAAAACAAAAAGACGAAAGCTCAAGTCTTGGATAAAGGATTCACTACTGCCACCGCAGTGATGACAAAAGCGCTAATAGAACAATTTTGCAAAAAGCTCTATGACGTATGTACAACGTATCTTATTTTCAATTTTGTTGTAAAAATTACAAATTTCTAGAAAGTCACAAAGCTTGAATGGGATTGTTTCAAAACACACACAAAGGATCTCATCAACTTCGGCAACTACAATTGTTCGACCTGGCAAAAGAAGAAATGAACATAACGGAGAAAAAAGTGTTTCTTACTTCTGAAAGTGTGATAAATAGGTTGAGTGCAGTATTATGTGATAAAAAATATATTTGAAATCTGGCAGTCTATCTTTATATCTCTTGCAGGCACACTGAACTTGTCAAGAAGAGTCATAAACATGCCTAGTAATTGTAAGCAGAGTAAGTGAGCTAAAAGATCAGGAAATTGATTGATACGCTAGTCGCGGAAAATTATCCATCACATTGATAATGTAGAGATACCGTTATTACAAACACCTTTTCAGGATGAGAGCTTACCGTAAAAACTTTATAATCAAACTCCAAAATCCTTTGCTTCCACCTTTGGGTCGTAGTTCTCGTGTTTTCTTAGATACATCACTATTTCATATGCATAACGAAATCTTATGCTTTAGCTTGACAATAGTCGCTGCCCGCCCTTCTGTGAGATACCCAAAACCATACTTCTCATGAGCTCTTCAGTCAAACTACGTGCCGCACAAGCCAGTTTGAGAAAGTTTTTCTATGGACGTCTGAGATTTGAAAGTACTTGACATTTCTTGCAAATGACGCATCAAGTTTCTTTTCAAGAGTTTTCTATGCGTTGTGTGGCCTTACGCAAACCCAACGTATCTCCGTAATAAAACGCCACTATGGGTTTAAATATGTGTTTTCAGCAAACTTAACAACCTCA